ACCCCCCAGCCCGGGATTTTGCTCATTCCTGCCGCTGTGACGGTAACTGCACCAAAGGGGGAGGTGCCTGCAGTCGAGAAGACTGTTACCGGGTCCCCGGTCCTGTTGGTTGTTAGTGCTGTAGTTACTGGGTTTTGTTTGCCTTGTTATACATCCTAGTAAAGAACTGTTATTCCTATTCCCATGTATTTGCCTAAGCGCTCCTTAATTTCAAAATTATAATTATTCGGAGGGAGGGGGTTCACATTCTGCATTCCAGGGATGCTTTCTGCCTTCCCTAGCAGACACCTGTCTTTCAAACCAAGGCAATGGTGCATCAGGAGGATAAACAGCAGTTTCCTGGAGAAAGCTCTCAGAGTAATAAATGGAAGACTGGCCAGTTCATTTCAGAGGATCATCACTATATGCACATTTGAACCATGAAGGGTTCCTGGAATCAGAACTTGGTTAAGAATTTTTCTGGCCTCTTATTACTGGTACTTAAAGACAATTGAGATGTTTAATTACACAAAGGAAAATTTATCCTTATACTCCCCAATTCCATTAGACAACTATTTCTTCACAGCTTTCCTGGGAACTCATTCATCATTTCTACAGCTTTCCATCAGATCTTTGCAAGTGTGGAGTAGCTCCATCTTACAAAGGAATCCAATCCTACAAAGAGCTTCTAGGAGCATGGAAGAACTCGGTAGTCCTAGCATATCACATCCACTGCTTATAAAATAATTAACTACTCACCATACAGCTTTCCCATGTCTGCTTTTGAGTAGCAGAATGTAATTTATGATTATCAGTTAGAAGCAGGTATTTAGAAACACATTTTTCTCTACTGCCTTGTAGCAGACTGAACTTTCAACTCCTCAGCCCTTTGCAAACTGACGCATCTACATTTGCATTAAAGCTTATTTTGAGAACAAAAATACTGTTGATCACGTTACTTACACGATGTGGAATGGAGTAACTTAAATCTGTAAACACATATTTTGCAGTTTCAGTTCCTTCAAGGACTTTGTCTTCTGCTAAGACATCATCAATTGGCTCTCGTTCATTCAAAACAGGGGGCATGATTAGTTTTGTTTTAGCTTCCTCAATGGCTTTTCTTGTGGCCTTGCAGGGGAAAAAAAAGTAGTTTAATTTTACAATTAAAACTATCATCCTATTGGAAAGATAATATACAATTTGGGGACAAGTATTTTCATTTAGAAGCTTGGTTTTCTTCTTCTGCATTTGACAAAAAATGAGACACCAATTCTACCTCTAGGTAGGTGAATTTCATGAAAACAATTTACCACTACTAAAACCTGGACAAAATGTTGGCAGAAGTTACAAAACTACAACAGGCAAACACCAAGTTTATTTTAGGTGTTTTTCCATGGTAAATTTCCCCCAAAATACAAACCACAACCAACAGTTTGTATATAGGTTTAATTGTGGCTACAGCAGAACTGGCTTAAATAAGGCCCTTTGTCATCCTGAATTATGTCAGACCAGAGGGGAGAGGGGAAATAAGTTGTCAAAGAATTCCCAGGGCTATAACTTAAGTATCATATGAAGGTATTTGATAGAGTTAGGAAGCATTAACAGCTTAATAAAGAGAAACTATCACCAAAAAAATATAAGTTTTCCTCCCATATTCCATCCAAATCGCACAAAACTGGACAAACCAAAATATTGCAAGTGAAGAAACACTGATTTACACTGATTTAGGGAATAATCCGAAACAAAGTAAAGAAACCGTAATGTTTTCAAACGCAGCAGTAAGGAAGGCAGAAATATGGGCTATTACAGGCATTTTGTTAAAATCAACACTTACTTCCGAAGGAAGCAGAGCAGCCTACCTCTTCCAGCTGAGCTTCGGTCATCAGCTTGTAGTGGGGCGGCTTGAGGCCCTTTTTCACAGGCCGGAACACCTTGTGCAGGTCGAGTCCCGTCATTTTGTAAAGCAGCGTCTGAACCGCTTCATCCGTGAAGGCGGGCTTGGGCTGGGCGGTCTTTCCCGCTGCGGGAGAGGGCGCACGCCGTTACCGGGCTGAGGAGGTACCACGGTCACCCCTGGCCTCACGGCTCCTCCCGCCCCGCATCCCTCCCCCCGCGCTCCGCAGCCGCCCAACACCGCGCGGCACGGCTGGGCCCCGAGGCCGGGCCGGCCGGCAGCGCGCCGGGGGTGCCCCCGGTCCCCTCGCGTACCGCCCGCAGCCGCGGCCAGCGCCCGCCGCGCGGGGAGCGCCCGCAGCCGCGCGGGGAGCGCCCGCAGCGCCCGCGCCCCCAGCGCCGCCATCTTCGCTCCGCCCCTGCCCGCCCCGCGGCGCGCCGGGAAACGGAGTCACGGCGGGCCGGCCCAATGGAAACGGAGCCGCGGAGTCACGGCGGGCCGGCCCAATGGAAACGGAGTCACGGCGGGCCGGCCCAATGGAAACGGAGCCGCGGAGTCACGGCGGGACAGCCGGCCCGACGGAAACGGAGCCGCGGAGTCACGGCGGGCCGGCCCAATGGAAAC